AAAAAAAAAAAAAAAAACCCAAACTTCAATACCTGAAGAATCTTCTAATGATCTTGAGATGGCTCCAAGTTTAATATAAAATTATATAGGGAAATTGTGTGGTTGTGTTTTTGTGTATGTACTGTGTGTTTGTGTGTTGTAATGCAAAGAATAAAAGTGCATCCAATTTAGCAATTAGTTGTCCGAGTCATATTGGAGTTAATTAGGTTTTTGTGCATGGGACAAGTTGCTTGTTTTACCTCATAAATTGATACGAACCTTATTCTTTAGACTTAATTTGTCAGCAAGATTCATTGACCCAATTAGTGTGTTTCTTACATTGACAAAGAATCTTGTCATTAAGTCAACAAATTATACGAGTAGTCGAGTACCATTAAATTTTGCAAAACATACTGAGATATTGAATAAATTCAGTCAAAAGTTGGGCCATGATGAACAGATCCATGCACTAACAATTGAAAATTTAAAAAGCAATGTCTTTCCAGATTGTGTAAGTTAGTTTCTACTTTATGTGTTTGTGTATGCAGATCGCATGGATTGGAAAATGAGAGGTAAATTCACTCATTTTAATAAAGACAGTCATTATGTGTAGTGTAACCCTAGCGGGCTTGAATTTTTAAGAAATTCTCTCATAGGAAGCTGGGACAGGTGAAAACAAGTTTCAGAGGAAAGGATGGTTTAATACTGCTTTATTAGACCAAAGTTAGTGTTCAAATTTTGCTTTTGCTTTGTTGATTATTGAAATTACATGTGTAATGATTACTTGAAAGAGAGTCGTTTTGTGATCTTAAAAAATCGGTTTTAAAGCAGTCGGTTTTTTAGACACGCTTTAATATTTAGTTGCGGAGTTCAGTCCTTTCCAATATGAGTGTAAAACTTGCATCACATTACCTCCTAAAAAAAAGCAGCTAACTAGTGACTAGTAGATATCTCTTTGGATTTGAGAATTCTTTATATAAATTGCCCGATGGGCGATAGATGGAACACAAAAAAATTTCTTTTATATTTATAATTTAAACACTAAAAAATGCTCACCCCTCTATTAAAGTTTTCAGTTATTATATATCTTAAGAGCATGACTGAGCTATTGTGATTTGCAATTTCTTAGCCGTTCCTCTATTAGGAGGAAGAAAAAAAAAAAAAAAAACTAACGAAACAGTATTGTCTGTGACTTTGGAAATTGAAGCATTCCTCACTAATAGTCCTTAGAATTTATTTCATGGGCCATAAAAGGGATATCTTGCTTAGCTAACTAACTTTTTCATCTAGCTATTTTGTGTGTTGTACCGCGTTTTGTCACGCTGAGGATAAACTTAGTTGATCACCTTGTTAAGAGATTATAATAAGTCTAATCTAGTAAATATTCGAGTACGACATGTGAAGTGGGTTGATGAAATTTGG